ACTCAACTGTTGTTTTGCAATCATTCCAGGTCCAACAGAATCGTTACTATGTTTCATCAAGGAAGAGTCCTAACTCTTTTACCACAAAAAAAAAATGAAGCATCACAATAATGAACTTTACTTTACACTGACGTGACGCCATCTGCGCCGCACAAATGTTGAATGCCTAAGTAGGCAGGCACGTGGGATTAATTACGCTATATTTGTCACAGTCGGCGCACACTTCACTGCCAACTAACAGTTAACGGCAGCTGTCAAAGGTTTAGCTAGTTGATTTTTCATTTTGTTTGGATTTTTTATGATTGCAGGAAGCTTTAAAATGTTTATTTCACCAAATCAAAGCTGTGTAAATGCCTCTGATTACAAATGCATGCGCGGAAATTATTTTTCAAACTTTCCTAGTCATGGGTATYAACAACAACAATGGAATGTCATTCACTTTGACAGGCGTGGCTTAAAATAGTTATTTCTGTTGTTTGACTAGAAGATTTATTTGTTGATTTGAGAAGCAAATGATGCTTGTGTACAATAATATACAAGTTGTTTTAAGCGTTGAGGATTAGCAAGGCGGCGCATCGAATGAGCAATGGGGAAAGAAATGAAATCTCTTAGGTCTAGAGATAGTGATCTGAAATTTTTCAAACGTTTTTTCTCCCCAGGTAGCTGCTTATTTGACGGAACCGTCGATATCGAAGCACTATAGCGTATAGCTGTCATACAAATTGAACGTTCGAAATCAAGTGCTTGTATGGAAAACTTTTTCATTTGACCAGATATCGTCACGAAATTGGACATGGTTTATTTTGAAAAGCAGCAATGCAATCTCCGAAGAAATTGTTCATATCGCACAACTATAGCATATAGCTGCCATACAAACTGAACAATCGATTTTTAATTTTTTTTCATTACACAAACAAATTTAAAAATGTTTTTTTAGCGTTCATTAATCAAATATATTTATTTATTTCTATTATATGCACGTTTCCAATAGTTTTGTAACAGCCCATGAACAACAACTCTCATCAGGTTGGGTTGCATAACACGGTATAGAAAAAGGAATGCATAACCAAATGACAGTAATTGCATTTACGTAATGAAAATTTTACATTAAGTTCTATACATCAATGCTTTACAACAAAAACAAAAACCGCATCGTTGTACTAAATGTTAGGAATGACAGCGGATATGAACGAACAAAGAAAGATACGCGCCGATGACTTGCAGTCGCGTATGATAAATGGAATTTCTCCACAGTTTGCAGTTATTTTCTATTTTATTGCACTTTCCCAAATGTGGGCGCACAGCGAATCATGAGTCAGGCAATTTGCAAAAAACGCAAGTAGGAAAAAAATTTTAAAATTCTGTTTACTTTAAGCAAAGTACTTCGAAGAGACTGCTGCTTCTTGCTACTTTCTCGGAAGGCAGCCAGCTGCGAGTTCATAAAACCAAAAACAAAATATATATATGTATATATATATAAAAAGCAAAAATCATAAGTCCACAGCGTGACCATAACAAATATTCGCAACAACACTAACAACAATCACCCGCCAATGTTCAAATATGCAAAAGTTGAGAATTAATGCAAACTAAAATGGGCACTCAGTAAACGAGAAACGTGAAAACGTACTGCATATGAAGGGTATAACGGACGGCCACGTGTAGCTTAACAAGCGCAGCTAAATTAACATTACGCAAATGAAATTTACATTTCAAGCCAACGACAATCGCGGCGCACAACAAATGCACAGCGCGAAAGCACGCCAAGCCTAGCTGGCGGCTAGCTCTCGATATTATGTAGATTAGCTTGATGAGCGCGCTTATGTAAAATCAGTTTCACACGCTCGCCTGCCGCTGGCATATGGTGTCGTACGCGTGCACGTTACGTATACGCCGGGGCATGCCGCGTGCGGCCACCCCTAGCTAATTAGTTGCTTAGTTGTTGTAATACAAAACAAAAAAAAAACAAACACACGAACACCAACGTGCCTACTTACCGTAATTTATAATGCTAGATGTGCCACTGCCATTTGTGGCAGCGCTGCCGGGCGTCGCTAGCGTTGACAATAATGCGTTGGCTGCGGTATTTGGTTGGCGGCGTATTTCCTTAAGATTTGCGCGTATTTGGCGCGGCTTCTTCTCAGAACAGATTGTGGGCGCCATGGTAGCTAAGCTTCAGCTGTGTAATTTAGTAATTAAAATCTGTCGTGCGAGTTGTTGTAGTAACTGCAGTATGTCTGCAAAGAAATTTGAAAGTAGAAAATATTCATTGATGAGTTGCGTTTAAAAGTTGTTAAAGATAATCAATTCAATTAATTATTTCTATATATACACACAGTTTTACAAAAGTAATTTATTGGAAATATGGAATATTTTTCATATGCATTAGTAATTTGAAATATCAAGTATATTTCAAAAAATAATTTAAAAAAAAGTTTGTTTAAATTTTTTGCAAAATAGTTGAAAAAAATATATATAAAAA